CATCTCCCTAAAGTATTTACCATATATATATATATATATATATATATATATATATAGAGAGAGAGAGAGAGAGAGAGAGAGAGAGAGAGAGAGGGGGGGAGGTTCAAACAAGAACCCCTGTGAATTATGGGAACACGAGAACAACTTATTAACCTCATATTGTGATAACAATTAAAATTAAAAGATTTTTGAAATTAAGATTGAAATTTAAAACAATTCAAAAAAAAATTGAGATTCGAAAGGGTAATAATGAAAATCAAAATCATAAAATTTTAAACACAATCACATTATAATCTTGGACATTAGAGTTATTCACTTAATTCAACAGTTATCGTTTATTAGAAGGTATTGAAAGGAATTCAAGGAGAAATCGAATATCAAGAAGCTGTAAAGTCTGAAAATCAAATAGCAAACAGGAATCGATCAGCAAGAAGAAGCCGTAAGATTTGAATGCAGGAATCGAACAGCAAGAATAAGTCGTAGAACACAATTTATTCAAGGTATCTGTCACAATTACTTGATTTGAACATGCTTTCATTCGATTAGGATTAGACAATCACACATTTATCACAACGATTGCGAGTGAAATCGACTAAATGATTTGGTGTGATAATCATGTGATATCACTATCATAACAGCGCACTCGATTTGATCATGGTTTAGATCGGTTAGGGTTAGAAAATCACACATTTATCACAATGATTACTCATGGTTTCGATAGGTTAGGATTAGACAATCACACATTTATCACAACGATCATGGGTGAAATCCGCTAAACGATTTGGTGTGATATGAGTGTGATAATTATGTGATATTACTATTATAACATCACTTGTGCACTCAATTTGATCATGGGTTCGATCGGTTAGGATTAGACAATCACACATTTATCATAACGATTACTCATGGTTTCGATAGGTTATGGTTACACTGGATTGATCATGATTTCGATAGATTATGGTTACACAATCACACAACTATCACAAGGGAAGGGAAGAAAGTGGAAACGAACGTGATCAATCCAAAAAAAAAAAGATAATTATAATTAATTAAAATAAAATAAAAATTACTTAATTACATCATTGCTCTTATTGATTTATTAATTAAAAAAGTTTGAAGTTATTGGATTGTTCTCGCGTTCTCGTGAATTACAGGAGTTCTCGTTTGAACCTCCACACACACATATATATATATATATATATATATATATGTGTGTGTGTGTGTGTGTGTGTGTTAGAAATAATAAATTTAAAAGGGTTTGAGACCGAGACCGATATAAAACAAGGTATTGAAGGTCGATATAAAAATGTAGGAGGAGAGAAGTAAAAACGAGACATGAATTAAAATTTAAATCTTTCTTCATTCCGATTAAATATACAAGGCTATCATAAACATACAAACTATGGAGTTTGCGTGTGCATTTTATGTACATTTTGACGTAATTTTAACGTTGTTTCAAAAGACGTATTTTTATATGACACGTACTCGATGCTTTGCAGTTCTCTATAAACTTATGTCATACCAAAGTCGTCTCATCCATTTGTCAACTGAACTACACGTTAAATGCTAGAGATTACATTTTTTCTGTAATTAAATATCATAGATTTTGAATTTTAATATTCTAATTCAGAAAAAATATAACGTAGTTGTTAGAGATGCTCATAAAATGACATTGTTTTATGTATTTATAGCATCTCATATATTTATATGACAAATAACGGATTTCCTATATGTGACATGTATGATAAAAAGAAGTTTGTTCGAATATTCATTTTCAATGTTAGTTATATGGGTGTTCGCGGTCCGGTTTGGACGGTTTAACACCTCAGACCACAAACCAAACCGTAATGACAGTTTATAAAATTTTCAAACTGAACAATTTAATATCAAGTGTCCAGACCGGTCAAAACAGACCACGAAAAGGCGGTCTGGTCTGACCGGTTTAGGCGGCTTGGGCCTTTAATAGACTTTAAATATTAAACTTAAAAAACATATATAATTTAGAATTTTAAATTAAATATCGATTTTAATAAAACAAAATATCAAAATAAATAAATATAATAATTAAGCAGCTCTTGAGTCCAAAATTCAAGCAATCCAAAATCCAAACAAATAAATATATAATACATATTAGAAAACTAACAAATTAATAAAGTTACAGCTCCACTGTGAATATTGAGTAACAAAATCCATGACTTCACAACTTTCAATTCTTGAGTCTTGAATTCTTAACCAAACAAAATAGAAGCCAAATCTTAGTTGGTTGAATCAACCAATGTTGATGTCTTGATGATGTGCACCGAAATCAAACCATGGATTAGGAAAGATCGATAGATTGATAGAGTTATTGAAGGATTTCAAAATTTGGAAACCATAAATGTCAAATGTGTCGATATGTTTACTGGTTTAAGGATTTTTAGACGTCGAGTCATTTGGATTTCATTATGTTAGATGTTAGGCTTTATGTGGGGCTTAAGGATATATTTGGGTCATAGCCTATAAGTTAAAAATGTTGGGCTTTATGTGGGGCTTAGGGATATATTTTGTTCTCTATGTATTTGACGACCGATTTGGTCCAAACTGCCCAAAAAAGTTTCCAAACCGCAGACCGGACCAGACCGTCTGGTTTTGCTATTTTCCAAACCAGACCAAACTGCCAAAAACGGTACAGTTTGACTTGGTTCGGCCGGTTTGAGCGGTCCAACGGTTCTTTCTAACACCCCTAGTTAGTCATAACATATAATATAACTCGACATGATAATTATATGTGCCTTAAAAAATAAATGTAATTATCTTTTCATGTTAAAAACTATACCAACCTCTGTTTGATAAATTTCAGCAGAAAATCTGTCAACACGTAATTGTTATAGTTTATGTTATTCATTTTGGTCGGCAAAATATACGAGATTAAACCCAAGAAAATAACGAGAGCACGACAATGACATGAAGACCAAAACAAAATCGCTTTAATTTGCATCATATAAAATTCATACATGCCATATTTCGGCATATGTCATTAAGTTGGAAACTCAACCGAATCATTTTCGCTGTTCGACCAATTGAAATTTACTTTTTCGATGTTGTCTGGTTCTGGACGTTTATAGAATATCAAAAATGTTTAAATGTCATAATAGATTGTTTTACTAGACTTAAGGTTTATAGGACCAAACAAGAGTATGTCTTATGTAAAACGTTGTAATAAGTTTATATGACGCTTTTGAAACACCTTACAAGTTTTTTTAGACACTTTTGAAATAAAATGTCCTGTTAATTTTTTTATATGACATTATTTGAAAAACGTGTTACAAAATCAAATATCCTATAAAACGATATGTTCATGGAGACTTATCAAAAGTGTCTTGTGGAAAAGACAATACGATATTTTATGTTAAATGTTCTGATTTTTTTTTTGTTAAAACGTCCAAACAACATTTTTCCTATTAATTCATCACAACGCTTTTACATAGGTAAGCGCTTACCCACTAAATTGTTGCGTTCATATGTTTTAATATACTAAAATCTTACGCATTAAAATAAATCATAGTGTTGACTCTTATCGATAAACACTTACTGGGTAAACAATTGGGTAAACAGCCCCTAACTGTATTACATCTTGATCACTAGCAAAAGCATGGAGCCTAAAGTCTAGGTCAGTATTTGGTATTAGAAAATGGTAAAACATCAGTTAAGTACTTAGATAACCTGATTGTTGCATTGTGGCATTTACTTCATGGATTGATAACTCATCAGGATCTATGTAATCGATAAAAGTTACCTTTCCATTCAAAAATTGCGTATCTAGAGAAAACAACACCATGATAAGAGTGTAGGATACAAGCGTGTCAAAAGATTCAAACAAAAAATCAACCCCGTTGTTCGATATTTAGGAAAACATAAAAACAACAAATTAAACCCATTGACCGCACCACATATCACTTGTGGATCAAAGTCTTCGGTTCGTGATTGAAAGTACAAGAATGATTCTGGATGGAAGTATTGTGCATCGACAGTGTGATGAAGATGAATGGTTGAAGGTCGAAGCGACGTAAAGGGAAGAGGAAGGTGATAGGTTTCAAAGGATTCGGGCCGTTTACCTAAACACTTACCCCGTAAGCATTTACCGGTAAAATTTAACACTATCGCTCACTTACTGAGTAAGATTTTATTCACTAAAACGCATCGTATGCAACAATTTATCCTGGTAAGCGCTAACCATGGTAAGAGTTATCGTCTTCACTTATCAGGTAAGACTCGGTTCTTGTCTTTGCTCTTACCGGGTAAGATTTTTAGTTGAGATAAACATCCACCAAAAGTGGGGGAAATAAGAAAATAATGTAAAGACCAAAATACCCTCGTTGTGCAAAGCACGTGAGGTCATCAAAACGGAAAAAAGAGATGGCGTTAGGGAGAGGGACGAAAATTGTTGAACGAAAATTGTTGAGGGGGCGTCAAGCGTGATGGATAAATCTGTTAAAGTATAGTTGAAGGACAAAAACTGTTGAAATTGATAAATTTTAGGGACCAAAAGAGAACTTTACTCTAAAAATAATTAAACTACCTTTTTATTAATTAATTATTATAAAACAAAATGCTTTCAACATCCAAAATATTATTACACCATGAAATACCAACAACCTCAATGACATTTCTAAATCCTATGTTTGAGGGATTTCAGATCCACACAATCCTTCAAACCAAACAAACATGGGATTGAAACAAAATTGAATTCCAAATCCTATTCAATCCTGCAAACCAAACGAGACCTTAGGAATCATTTGCCAAACATTTATAGAGTAAGCCCTTATTACGTGACCATGACAAAAACCGGGAATTTTACCCAATTAACGCTTACAGGATAAGAAACCCTTACCAACGATATATTTTAATGGCCCGAGAATCTTATTCAGTAAGATAAGCGAGGGTTATGACTTCTCCATGTAAACGCTTACCGAATAAGTGTTTGGTAAACGACCCCTTAGACACAGAATAACAAAGTAATATCAAATCAATTCACCTAAAATGACATATGAACTTATTATAATTTTCATTCAGGATGGTAAAATATAATCAAATCCACATAATTTTGGTGTGAGTAAATCCAGAAGACCATCGTTTCAACTTTTTCGACAACGATTAAAAGCAGGAACAGCGTTGCAAAGTAGGTAAAGACGCATACCAGCATCAACATAAGGCCTAAAGGCTCTTCTATCTTACTCTTCCCGCTTCAAACGAAATGGTAAAAATGATATCTTAATACCGAAATCTTTTGAACACTTAGGGCAGCTACGGGTGTTTTATAGCTTAGCGGAGTGTAGCTTCTGCTTGAGAATTGGTTGAACGTACTGATGGAAGCCGTCAGCTACATCTGAATCGTTCAGAGGATCTTGCCAAGCAGCATCGTAGAGTTTCGGATATACATTCCCATCATAACGCCCAAGAATTGAACCCAGATAGTGATCGGTGTAGTTGAATGAATCAACCAACACTATTGCATTTGGACGGACCTAACCAAGATTGCAGTTTTCGAAGTCAGCAAACAGATCATTTATGTGTTCCATATTGCCACATTTTTTGACACGGTTAAAAAATTACAATTATTTGGGAAATATCTAAAGTCCCTTGAAAAGAGAGAAAAAAAGATTTTAACTACCACAAAGAGGTTGATTGAGGATCGTGAGAACCAGTAATCATGTGCTGTTGAAATGTGAAACAATGCATGTGAAAAATGCAATGTTGTTTCACATTGTGAAACAAAACTGTACTTTCACATGCATTGTTTCACAAAACGAAACGGCACATGATTAGTGGTTTACACAGTTCTCAACCTTTTTTGTGGTTCTTCATTTGATTATGCCCCTATAATGGTAACAAACCAATAAGTTTCACTCAGAAATTTGTCTAAAAAGAAAATGTCTCAATTTCATGAAACATTCCGAACGAATTTGTTGCAAATACATGGAACAAAATAGATCATCTTGCTACACTCATCCCATGGGAATTGCAAGGCTTAACTACTAGTTTGATTTTTTAATCAAATATCTAAACAAACTCTTCGATAAGAATATAATTTTTGAATCAAAATATTTCTAGTGATAATAATGAGCAAATTGGTAGTTCGAAAACTACTCCGAGAAGAGAATATATGATTGATGACTCACCTTGGAGTACAAGGTTCTGAGTTGATCGTTAGCAAGTAAGGCCTGTTTGGGCGTAAGATACCCGATGGCCAAGAAATCACCTTGATGCTTGTGAAGAAGAAACAATGCATAGACATAGCACAGTATCTCTAACGATTGTTTCACTCCCTTTCCGGGGATGTCTTGTTTCAGTTTCTCGATAAACCTACAAAACACAAGTGCTTTTTTTCAAGATTTACAGAGACAGTGTGCATAACACCAGAGGCAGGTCATTTGAAGGTTATTGAGTTAATTTCTTTTAAAAGGCCATGCTCCTAATTGAAAACTCATTTAACTAAATGACCCCTTTTAGGTCCACAAGGGAGCATTTAGCTAAACGACCTTCTGACATTTTTAAAAAAATGCACGACCTTTTGACATTTAAAAAAAAAAAAATGCACGACCTTCTGACAGAATTTAGAACGCCTCTGCCTAATAGAAGAATGCCTAAAAATCTGTGAGGTTGTGTAAAAATACGTCAAAAAGTTATTTTTCTATAATACCCGTCCGCAGAATGGGCAGTACGTGCTGTGTGAGGAGATCTCTTCCTAAACACCATCAAGTGGTATAAATCAAATATTATCAATATTAACTGGTAGAGCTTACTTGGACACAACAATCAGTTGGCAGTGAGCAACTGATGCCTCAACTAAATCAGACGCTAGTTCTGCAAAACCTGTAGCAAATTGACATGAATTTACATTTAGCATGGTTAAACCTTTTTGATCTGTTTCGTGAAATGTGATTTTTAGATCACACACCACCTCCCACAATTTAAATCCCTAGGTTTCGAGGCATAAAATGGTGCACACTTAGCATTTGGCATGGACTTGAAAGTTTTAAGTTTTACGAATGCTTGGATGCAGCCTTCAATTGACTCAATGCCCTTTAAGAACGCTGAATTTGGAAGCAATCTCTTTCTCAGTGCTTCCTTTAGGCTCCTGGCTACTCATTGGTAGAACACGAACCCATATGATATTGAGCTTGAGCATTCGAAATTTTTTCGTACATAATTCTTGATATGATTTCTTATTTTTTGATCTTCGTGTAGACCTTCACAACAACGAATAATATTTTTATTGTGCGAACAAAGGGAACGATGACTGATCAATTTCAGAACCTATTCATCAATTCCTGACCTTAATAGCTTATTCAAAAAGTCATTTTTAAGTAAGTTCGTTACTAAGAAGAAAAAAAAACCCCAGATCTCTTTTGACAACAAGCCCAAGCCCTTTTTGCTATAGGGCAAACAGGGTTTCAAATCACGAAGAATGGCAATTATCTGTAAGGATGCAACCTAATCATCAGCATTCTGAAATGACTGACTAGTTTTCTCGAGTCTTCAAAATACAGTCCATATAGCAAAATCATATACCAGTGAAAATTCAAAATTATTGGCTAATAAGCAGCCAAACATTTCTTTAATCAGTTCTCTGAAAAAAACCTCCTTGCATTTCATGTCGTCATATATAATTGGCGTAAGACAGACGGGAAAAATTAACTGCCAAAGATGGACGTACCTTCTTCTGGATTTTCAAACTTGGCTAACCGTTGGCCACAGGCAACACTCATTCTAGCAGCCCTTACCTCAAATGCTTCAACTATTGCACCAGGATTTAGCCAGTCCTCAGCTGCATCCCATTGTGGTCAATAAAGCCGTTAAATATTGCAACTTTATTGTGGTCAATAAAGCCATAAAGAAGAAAATTTACCGGTTCGAACAGCACAATTGTTCTGCATCAGTGCTGCCATTCGTCCCATATAAGCTGTTGTCCCAACTGGCTGTTTATATCCCAGCTCCGAGACTGTCTTCACAAGAAACCTCGCAACCTAGAAATTTTGAACCAGCAAAGCAACATTAAAGACCGATTAATTCACTCAGGAACATGAAAGTAATTGCAATTTAGCAATGATAAAAAACCCAACCCGACCAGCCAGTTGAACCTCAACCAGTAAGAATACCATAATGAACTCGGTGTCTATCCTGAAAACCAGATGCAGAAACCCCGCTTAAAACAGAGTACCCGATGGTTGATTGCTCACCCATAAAGCATAAACAATGAGCAAAATGTTATTTTACGGCTTTCTTTCATCATATCTTTTGAGAGTTTGTGCTCTGGATATCATATTTCATAGAAGTTTCCCAATTTGTTAAGTTTTATTGGTATTTTTTTATATATTTCGTTGTTAAATAATTGGTTATCATGCAACTCTAACATCACCAGACAATAGCAGTTCAACCGCGGTTCACCCAGTGATGTGACTGTTCAGTAAGCTTTTGAGGTCAACAAATTGTCCGGGTTTTTGAATTTGCAATTTAGGTGCCTCTATGTAAAAGATTTTTTAAGTAATTCATTGGCCAGCCACTCAGATGGCTTGAAAACAAGATATCACTGCTGTACCAAAAATCCATTCTACTTTCTCAAGATTCACAACATGAGTAGATCAGAAATGGAAATAGTGTCATCCTTTCTAGTAAGAAGCAGTAACCTGGAGGCACCTCATCAATTGGGATACAACCCAACACCCTAATGAGAAAAGGTTTTCTTGAGCTGAGTTTTAGAATATCACACCTGTAGCAACAGGACAACGTTGTCCCCTTCATACGTACAAGCAGGAATGTAAACCGCAAAGAGTTCAGGAAGCCCACTACTGACAAGGTAGCCATGACCACCACATAGTTTTCGACATTCTTCAATTCCATCCTGAAAGAACATGTACAAAGCAAATTAAGCCGAATGGTGAATTCTAGATTTAACTCGAGGAGATTATATATTTATTAAGTGCCAGGTTGATGGCTAATCTTAAGAGAGGCACATAGTAGACATCATATATATATATATATATATATATATATGATATATAAAGAATTGAACACTCACAGCTGTTGCGGTAGTTGTCAAGGACTTCAAGCCTGCAGTACATGCATGCGCCTCGGGCAAGGTTGAGAAGTCGTTAGCTTCTAACCTTTGCTTCACGTCCGTGTACAACCATTTCAACCATTCACCAACAAATCTAAAGGCATAAGCAGAAGCCAGCAAAGGGAAGAGTCTACTTTGCTGAGTTTTGTAATCTATCACCTAAACCAAAAACAAAATCTTCAATCATTTAAAGAGCTGAATCAACTCAGCTAGATATTGCAATGAAGTCTACATATAAAGATGTGAATTCTTGTTTTTGAATAACCTGCGTCTCAGGCCCACCATTACGTGAGCCAAACTGTCTACGGACGGCACTATATCTTGTAGCAATACAAACTGCACGAGATAATGCCTTGGAAGCATCAGCTACAATTGTTTGCCTAACATACACCATAGTCCCATAAATGAGTTGTCGAGGAACATCAGATTGCATGTATTTCCCTTCCTTTGTAACCTGTGACACCCTGAGTAAATCAAAGAACGACTTCAGAAAGCAAATCAAACCAATCCCACTCGAAAGTTGGGAGGGAGCAGGATGTAGGCAGACCTTCCCTCTACCCCTTCGGGTAGAGAGCTGTTCCTGTGCAGACCCTCAGCATGTGAAAGGTTTTATAGAGACAAGATTTGTCAAAAAGATTATGAAGGTTGCGAGGATTTTGATGAAGAATAACTTCAGACAGATACACAATACATAATCAAGTTGGAACTACTGTGAATCACTGGAAGATAAGAGAGACAAAGCTATATAGATATGACTGTACCTCATCAACATCTGGTTCCGTGGGATACGCACATGATCAAATCTTAGCACACCATTATCCATGGTGTTATATGCCCCATTTCCAAACTTCAGCCCAATATCACCAACAGTAATGCCAGGAAGAGGTGAGTGATCCTCCAAGCTCCTTAGTTGGACAATAAAGCCTTCATCGAAATGATGATGATAAATAATGGAGAAGTTTGTTTTTCCACAGAAGGGTTAGATGCACACAATAGCAATGCAATTTAAGACTGGTCTACCTACATCCCACCCCACTCAAACCCTACTTTCGAGTGGGATACACTAGGTTCTTTTGGTTTTTTCAGCAATGCAATTTAGGCGGATAACTAGTTTTGATAATGTATTTTTTTACACAAAATAGCAACATATTTCAATTTTTGTCCATTGAAATGACTTTATGTATTTTAACTTCTGTAGTATATCACAATTTGATGGTCAAACCGGTTGTAATAGAAAATGAAAATCAAAGTATATTGATATTCCGCGTAAAAATATTGCATAAAATGGGAATTAGCCTAAAATATTGTTAATTGTTTGCATTGATCAACCCTTCCACAAAATGATTTTTTTTTTTGAAAATTGAACTGGTATAAGAAATTACAGAAAAAATATAGTTAAAACATGAAAATGGTATTCTGTACTAACCATGAACTCCATGAAATTCACCACCTACTATGAGGCGAGCATAAACGAGAGCATGTGTTGATGCTTTACCCAATCCACCAGGCCACCACTATTAGACATCAAGAAACACAGGCAGCACAAAGTAAAATTGAGAAAACGGAAATAAATTCAAATAAATATCAATGACAAACATTTGCAAATGCAACTTTGTAAAATACCAAAAAGTAGAAAAAAGAAAGAGAATTCCAGTTCCTTTAACAGAATGAACTTGGTTCTTACTACAAAGCCATTTGATGTATGAGATAAATAATTAAAAAAAAAAAAACCCTCATAAACATCTTACTCACTTTGCTTGATGTTAAAGTAGGACTGTGAATAACAAACTCATCCGCTTGGGGATCAAATGTTGCGGTTGTTTCAAGACCTTGCACGTTGGACCCATGACCAAGTTCCGTTTGTGCATAACAGCCAATAATTTTCATCTTTTGCGCCAATGGCAACCATTTCTTTTTTTGTTCCTCGGTGCCTTGCCCTTCTATAGCTGGAATGAACATTCCCTAAGGAATCATAGGAACAACAGCAGATGAGCCACACTGATACAGCTTTTGGCACAACCAGTTTTATTCATGGAATAGATCAATATAGTTTCAGGAAGTTCTTGGTTGGGGGTATTAGGGATTAAGGAATGGAAATGAAAACAAATAATGGTGCTTGGTTCAATATAAGGCAACAATTTCATTCTTTATCATTTCCATTTTTCATCCTCATTCCCTTAGAAAAGGACCAAAGACCTCCTCAGAAACAATATAGATCTATAGCGAGCGCAAAGTTATGACTTGGAGATGATAAGAAAGTTCCCAAATGAGATCCATAAGCAGTTTCATCAAACATTGATTGATATATCACTAGCATTTCATAACAATGACTTGGGAATGACAAGAAATTACCCAGTGAAGATCAGTGTAAGCAGGTTCGTCGATATAAAGCCGCAGCCATTTGGCCTCTTCTTCTGAGATTAATAAGAATTGCACAGTCAAGTGAAAACAATGATGATTACATAAAACTGAAAGATAAGTCTAGAAGTCTGCTTCCACAAACCAGGTATCTTGATACCATCTTGCAGGATTAAAGTAAAGGTTACCAGTTAGACGAAGATCAACAATCAGCTTCCATCCATGAGCAGCCTTTCTAAGAGTATTCTTGAACAACTCTTTCCTACCAAGCATAGGCCTAGTAAACTTCTCAAAGACCTATAAAATGACAACATGCAATATAAATATATATTTTTAGAGAAAATATACAAATTTAAAGCATCAAAAAGTTGTATTTTATTTTTCAAAATTGCAACAGTTCGTGCATACAATACAAAATACACAATCACCCAACACCAAATAACCTAAGCGGGGATTTGGTTCACAGAATGAAATTTGGTGGAATTGGAATCCATCAAAAGAGTTTGACTTTGAAGGAATTGGAATGAAATTTGATGGAACTTTACCACGCTTTTGGTTGGTAGGAATTGGAATGGAATCTCTCAAAAGAATTGGAACAACCGTCTTTGTTTGGACCACACCATGTCACTACTGTCGTTGTCACAATTACCACATTTCCCCGCCCCGCCCACCACCCCCTCACACCCTACCTAAACCCTGCCCCACAACCCCCACACACCCTACCTAAACCCCGCCCCACCCTGCTCGATGGGTGGGGGTGGGTGAGGGCAGGGCAGTAGGGGCAGGGTGGTGGTGAGTGGTTAGGTTAGGGGTGGGGTGAGGCAGGGTGGCAGTTGTGACAACGACATTGGTGGGATGGTGGTCCGGTGGCTGGGTATGACGGCGATAGTCGTGGCAAGGTGATTAGTGGTGGGTTGGGGTAGGGTGGGTGAGGAGTGAGTGGCGGTTGTGACAGTGACAGTGACAGTAGTTGTGTGGTGGTGGGAGGTTAGGTTGGGGGCGGGGGTGGTAGCTGTGACACGACAGTGGTGGGATGGTGGCTGAGTGGTTGGGAGTGGCTGGGTATGATGACGACAATAGTGGCATGGTGGTTAGCGGTGGGGGTGAGTGACGGTTGTAAGGCGACAATAATGGTGTGGTGTTAAGGAGGTTAGGGGCGGGGCTAGGTTGGGCGGTGGGGTGGGTAGGGTGAGAGTAAGGGTAGTAGCAACGTCGTAGTAGGGATTGATCTTCCCCTAAAAGCTACCCTAAAAGCTAAGCAGATACTTTTTTCATTCAAAAGGACAGGAGCTAAATCACCTAACACCTTCAAAGGAACATGAATGGAAAGAATGCGCAATCAATTTAGTATACCTAGTAGAAGGGAAGCATATAACAAGTAAAAGACCAGATAATCCCAAAACACAAAACCATTAAAACCCTAAATTTCATCCACAAATCAACTAAATTACAACTTAACATAAATTGAAGTGAATTATACCGGATCATTAGCGACGAGCTTGGCCATACGATTAGAGACTTCAAGAGTTTCACGAGAACCAGCCCAAGCAACTTTCATGGCTTCCACATCGAACTGCGCCTTCTTCCTCTCATCGATCAAGTAATCTACTCCCTCCATTTCTTCTTCAAATCAAAATTGAAATCCCTAGAAAAACAAAAACAAGAACTGAAATCATACAACAAGATCAATTTCACTTCAAGAAAAAGCTAATCATCAATTTTGATCAGCATTGGGTTGATGTTTTAGTCACCCAAAATTGGTTAATGATTACCAAGATAAAAAGAAGGATGTGCAGATTTCAGAGAGCAATCGTAATCGTAATCGTAATCGTAATCGTGACTCCCAAAGACAACAACAACACACGTATTTATCTTCGCTTTTTCTTACTCGATATGTATTGCATTAATGGCGATATAATGCCGGCTCCAATTCTGACGTGTTTGTTTTTGGGCATCACTACCGACAAGAAAATAAATTCATGAGATTTTGAAGAGAAATCCTCCATATCGGGAGATATAATAATAAGGTGTAACTTACATTCCTACTTCATATCGTATCTAATTTATTTTCTATGAAATGTCTTTTCTAAAAAAAAAAAAATTAAGGGTTAAATGTATGAAATAACAATTTATTTTTATAAAGTTTTTTATTATAGTATTTTATTTTTGTTTTTCTTTATTACAGATATAATAATAAGGTGTAACTTACATTCCTACTTCATATCGTATCTGATTTATTTTCTATGAAATGTCTTTTCTGAAATTTTTTAGGAGTTAAATGCATGAAATAACAATCTACTTTTATAAATGTTCTTATTATAGTATTTTACTTTTGTTTTTCTTTATTACAGTAATGTACTTTCAAATTATTTTTTATTAAAGCATCGTATTTTAAAAAATCTACCAATTATAACAATGGGTAACCTGTTACCTTTTAAACCGGTTAACCCTTTGACTTTTTTTTGCTTGTGTGACTTTAATGAGATAATGTGGATGACTCATCATTTTGATGACTTAACTAAAAAAAACAAAAACAAAAAAAAATACAAAAACCTATTTCAAATTATTATTAATGATTTAAAAAAACATTTACATTTTTTTGTAACACCCTTGTTTTTGACATGAGTAATGTTATATCATTATCAGTATTCTTCTGTAATAAGTTCAAAATAGTGGGTAAATAAAAACTGTTTACAACAGAAGACTTTAGAACAAATAAATATGTAACTTATTCTTCCATTACCTTGTTGTGTTACAAAATTTATCATACATAAATATTAAAACTTAATGAACAGGACAAGTGTCTACGAGTGCCCTTTTCCCTTTTCCAATCTTATATCTCTGAGATGCATATTATAGTCAGCTTATAGAGTTTATTGAGTTAATGACTTGCGTGAATAAAATTATTTCATTGCACATATCAACTTTTAAACTTTGTATCAAGTAGTATGCGGTTTCTGAACACATTCAACACTGAAAGAACTGAGATCTCATAAATTTTATGGTCTGGTATGAGTTATTTGATCACTAACACGTCATGGGTTGAATTGTTTGTTCTTTTCTATTACCCACTTGTATGGGTCGTGCCACTTGTTCGTGACTTACTGATCAAATGCTTACCTCCTTAAAACTAATCATAAAACCGTCGTATGAAATGACATACTCTTATGAAAATAACAATCATGAAACATGTAATTAGTCGTAAATAACATACATGTAAAATATATTGTAACATGTATGTAAGCTAAAAACATCATGCATACTTGCACATCACCATACAAATCATATCATACTCAAAATAAATCTGTATGTATGTATCCTAATGTAAGTCTCATGAAAACTCACTTACATGTGCAGATCGATTATTGATAGTTGCTGACTAAAGACCTACACATATCATATCACTGTATCCAATTAATGACTCAATTTCTATAAAAGTCAACTATGGTCAAATTTGACTCGGTATAAAATCAAACTCAAAATCTTGGTCTCTTAACCATTTGATCTCATCATTAAAATACTTGTGGATCAACTTATGGTCAAACTTGACTCGAACTAAAGTCAAACTTAAAACCTTAGTCTCTTAACCATTTGATCTCATCATAAAAATCCTTGTGAGTCAAATGGGGTAAAATTCAACCATAGGTCAGCTCAGTTAACCTCAACTAATTTTAGTCAAACCTCAAGTCTAAAACCCGATGACGTACAAAAACATTAGATTCCATTGTGTAACTATATGGAGTTACTGTTATTGGTTAAAGCATCTCCATATCATTTAAACCCAACCGAACACTTTAACCTCATTATCAGATCACCTAATAAAATGATATATTGTACCCATCCTCTTAGAATAAATAACTAAAATACCAAGTCTCAAGTGTAGACCAGTTCAATTATTTTATAAAGCAAAATGCTCAAATATTCTTCAAAATACTAATTCTTTAATTATAGGGGTATTTTGGTAATTATGTAAGCTCCAAAAATTAAAACCTGGTCGAACTTGCATTTATAAAGTCTAATGACCTCTCTAGAATTTCCAGAAAAATTATCGTTGTTGAACTCGAATATTCAGTAATAATTAGGGGTTAGCAGTGGAACCGGGTACCCACTTGCGGAACCGATATGAGTGATTTCGGTTCCTAAAATACGGAACCGATTGAGAATGGTTTCGGTTCTTAATTTTTCGAAACCGTTACCCGCTGGGACCGGTTCGAGACTGGGTATCCGGAACTGACAGGTACCCTAAACCGGAACCGGCGGGTATCCGGTATTTTTCAATTAAAAAAAATTATTAAATTTTTTTAATACTAGATTAAATTAGGTCAAGAACTTAGAACTCTAGATTCAGAATTTCAGATAAAATGATCCGTATTTTTTTAAATTGTGTGTTTAATTGGATTCATAGTATGTAATCGTTAAATTTTGAACTTTTACAATTATAGTATGTAATCGTTAAACTTTCAACATTTACTATTATTCTATTATGGTTTGTAATCGTTAAACAATATTTGTAACCATTATTTCGTATAATTTGTATTCTTTATTTATTAGTGTTTTGACAATGTTTTATTTATAAATAACAAAATTTTAATATTTTAAGAAGCGGGTATCTGGAACCGGAACCGGTTCCCGGCGGTTCCGGTTCCAAAAATTCAAGAACCGCTCTAACCGGTTTCGGTTCCAATATCTCAAGAACCGTCGGTTCCAATTCCTATCAAATAGGACAAGTACCCGTCTTTGCTCACCGTTAGTAATAATAATAAATTTTCAATACATTAAAAGAACAAATAATAACAAATAATTTCGACCTTTTATTCCCATATCATTTTCATTAAATGTCAAAGTTGACCCTTCAAAACTCCATTCTTTACACTTTTGATCTAATAAAATAAAAAGTTCATTTTATTTTTCTTTTGATATTTATTTTTATTCTATGTATTTTTGTACTTGTAACATTTTTTCTTAGGAACCGTTTACTAAATGCTTACCCGGTAGGTGTTTATCGGGCAATTTTCTTCACCGGACGATGATAAGGATAGAGAGTCTTACCCGGTAAGTGAGGATGACGACTCTTACCCGGGTAAGTGCTTACCATATATATTGTTGCGCACGATACCATTTTTGATATACTACAATCTTACCTAGAAAATAAATTACAGTGTTGACCCCTAATGGTAAGCGCTTACCGGGTAAACATTTAAGGTAAACAACCCCTAATTTTTTTTATTACTAGAAGGGTATTTGCACAATGCAACGAGATAAATCTCGATTTTAATTTAGTTTTTATTCTCTGTCTCTATCGATATAATACGATTTTATGTAGTTTTGAGAGGCAATAATATTTTTATTTTTGACTGAAATATAAATTTGAAGATAACAAAAAAATTTGAAAAAAATAAATCGATATTAGTATCAAATTAACTATTTAATAGTTTTTTTTTTGTGTAACTTCTTTAATTAATTTTTTTTATTATAATTCAATTTAGATTTAATAATAAAGTATTTTATTTTTGGTTTAACAATATAATTTTTTATAAAGATAATAATTAAACATTCTGTTAAAACTCAATGATTATTTTAATTATATTTCAGATTTTCTATGTTTAAAATGAATGTTTATCCTATATTTGATTCTATTTATCTGCAGTTAATTACACGAATTTAAAAATGAAGTTTTAATAAGTTGTACTTACGCAAAATTACTTGTAATCTTGAATTTTAAGTAATATGCATCAATAAACAATATTTCATACGTAAAAAATGTTTTTTAAGAATTTTTGTCAAATATTTTATAATATAGTATAAATATATACCAAATATGTAATTTAAGTACTATTATTAATCTTAAACGGAAAACACGTGAATCCTATCCTCGTCGTTTTCATCACCCATCTCCACCTGCAACTCTGTTTCCATTTTATATATCTCAATTATTTACATGAATAATAAACTCAATATTTCCAGAACACTAGTATTTTTACTTTTTTTTAATTAACCTGGATATCCAATCCGTTATGCGAGCCGACTAATCCACTTGTATTTTTACTTTTTTCGAAACCACTAGAACTGGTTTCGTACCGGGTACCCGTGTCCAAATTTTTTAAATTTTTATTTATTTATAATTATTAGTCTATTACAAAGTATCAACTTACAGAAATAAACACTACAAAGTACAAATAGTGAAAATTAATCCGATAAAAACTTAAAAAAATAATTTCAGTTTTAGTTTTATTAAATATGATAAATATATAAAATAATTATTATTAAATAAATAGCAGGCACCCGTCGGTTCCGGTTTTGGATACCCGGTCCTGGAACCAAGCCCGACGGATACCTAATGGTTCCAAAGAAATGACAACAGTAACCGGAACCAGTCCCGAGCAATTCCGTATTTTAGAAACCGGAACCAATCACATCGGTTTCGATTATGAAATCAACAGTTTCAAAACGATTTTAGTTATAAAGGTAGGAACCCGATTCCAATGCTTACCCCTATCTCTACTTGCATACTATAGATATATTGTTATTTATAGTAAGATCAATGGTTATTTTGAAGGTTCTGTATGATAAACTAAATGTGACCCTTATTTATTTATTTATAAATATACTATTTTTTTTGCTTTTTACAAAAAAATATATTTATTAAGTTATTTTCTATTACATTTGAACATGTATTTGATAATAAATCGATCGATAGTTCCTCTTTAACTTTGAAAAAATCGTTCATATTTTTTAACACTTTAAAATGAAACGAACATATA